TCCTCAAGAAGCGACCATGTCACTTTAACAAGTGGACATTTGCCCTGGAAAGATGGGAACCAAATATCAGGGATGACTTCCCGAGCTGTGTAACTTTCTGGATTACCATTGGAGGTATACCTCTCCATCTATGGGTGGAAGATGTTCTGCGAAGAATCGGAAACGCTTTGGGGCTGGTGAAGGAAGTCGACGTCAATGAAGGAAGAGTCTCGGTGGTGATTGACGTTACCAGACAGTTGAAGTTCAAAAAGAAAGTTATGTTCAACGCGTCGGAGGAGATAACGGTTACCCTAGAATACGAGAGACTCTATCGTTTCTGCTCCATCTGCAACTTGATTTCTCATGAAGCCCATGCCTGTCCCTCGCTTCCAGTCTTGGAACGGAGAAGAAGCAGTGAAGCACGACATATCCCGAACTCCAAAGACCGCCGCCGAGGGAGAGCTCCTCAGGCCGAAGAGAACTTTGCTGTTACTAATCCCAGACGCGATGTCAGACCAAGCAGATCTGGCCGCGATGATCAGTCTCACTCCCACTCTCTCCCCGACAAGGAGGCTCCCATTCCCTCACGCACTCTCTCTCAACGACTGGTGCGGAGGAGTCTATACACTGGAGAGGAGAGCCTTCGACAAGATAAAGGCAGAGGCTCTGTCTGGAAAAGGATAAGCGGTGATCGAGTTTCACATCCCCCTCGTTCTCGAGTGCAGTTCTCTCAGTCATCCGCTGGCTCGAGAAAGCGCCGTCCTCATGAATCTACGACAAGTCATGAGTTGTGACGTGAAATCCCAAGTAATGATTCAAACCAGGAGACCTCGCAGCGCTAGAAGAAGACTATCACCGATCATCGCAACCGGTCTCCACCCAGGAATGACTTCAGCTTTGAGCAGTGGGGCAGCTCACGACCACCGAGACTCCAGCCGGGTATCCGTATCAGTGAACCATCTGCTCTTACACCACCAGCTGCTCGTGTGGTTGATCCGCTGGACAAGGGAAAAGGTAAAGCTGTTCATGAAGAGGAAGATGATGCCAACAGCGACGTAGGGGATCTGGAATCTTCTCCAAGACTTTTGGAAGTGGGGTCTGCTTCAGGAGCTGTTAACTCTCCACCTTTTGGTGAGATTATCCCAGCAATGGAGGACTAAATTCAGGAACCCATCAATGAGTGTGAAAAGCGAACTGATGAGGTGTAGAGTGTGTGTGGAACTGAATCTGTCCCCACTGATTCGGAGAACCGTGTAGATGGAGAAGAAGGTGAAATTGTGTTTACTGAGGAAGATTTGAGGATCCTCGATGAGTGTGAGAAGATGATGATGACTGATGAAGCTATGGAGGAGGACAACTTGCTTGGAGAGGATCTTACCGCTGGAGATATCACGGTGAGCTTGGAACACACGATCTCAGACATTGCGGTGCCGATTACATATCCACCTGCTGTGGCTCCGGCTTCGTCCCAATCTCCAACTAGCAAGAGGAATCGATCACCCGATCACCACCACACCAGGAAGATCCAGAAGCCTACTCCGCCGAGACAGAGTGACAAACAGGGGACCAAGAAGAAGATCCCGAAGAGCCCCAAGGCTCCTGCTGCTGCATCGAAGAAACTCAAGCCTTACCAGAACAAGAGTCCTCCGAAGAAGCGCTCAGGATCGACCCCAAGAGTCGCATCAGCAACAACGGCGCACATGGCAGCAGAGTCTCACGACGGGAAGCAGCCAAAATCACGAAGGGAAACAAGAAGTCTGAAGGTTTGGAGGGTTCCAGAACTCCTCCCAAACCGACCGAATGAGGATCCTTCCTTGGAACTGCCAAGGGGCAGGAGCCGAGCTTACTTCCCGCCGACTGGAGGATTTATGCCTTAGATACTCCCCAGGTTTTATGTTTTTATCTGAAACCAAGAACTCTCGTTATTTTATGCAGAATATGCAAGTTACTCTAGGATTTGATAACCTCCACACTGTCGACCCAATAGGGAACAGTGGAGGTCTTGCTCTTTTTTATTCTAAGGACTTTCCGGTTACGTTTTTATATTCGGATGATCGCTTGATTGATGTTGAAACTATTGTTGACAGAAATCGAGTTTTTATGTCTTTTGTTTATGGCGACCCTATTGTCAGAAACCGCAATTACGTTTGGGAACGTCTTTCCCGCATTGGTATTTCCCGAGATGGACCGTGGTTCATCATCGGAGATTTTAACGAGATTACAGGAAACCACGAGAAGAGTGATGGCAAGAAGCGCTCTGAGGCGACTTTCCTCCCCTTTAGAGCAATGATTCAAAATTGTGGTTTGATCGACTTTCCATTCCAAGGCAACCAATTTTCCTGGGTAGGAAGAAGAAAAAACGGTGTTATTAGATGTCGTTTGGATAGAGCCTTAGGGAATGAGGACTGGCATAACATCTTTTCCCACACCAATGTGGAATATTTAAATATGTGGGGCTCTGACCACAGACCCATGGTTGCTTATATCGGAAGTGTCCCAATGCGCCACTATAGGAGTTTTATGTTCGATAAACGGTGGATCGGCAAGCCCGGTATTGATGAGACAGTGAAACATGGGTGGGTAATCCCTTAGCTCATGGTCAGGATTCTTTTGTCCGTCGTATCCGCCGATGCAGACAAGCCATTTCGGTGTGGAAAAAGGGTCTAATCACAAACTCCCAGAAGCTCATTCAGCAACTTCTTAGGAGATTGACAAAGCCGTAGAGGACGACAATGTCTCCCCGGAAGATCTTCTATCGTTAAAAAGGCAGTTGTGCGACGCCTACCGAAAGGAAGAATTGTTCTGGCAACAGAAAAGCCGGGCTAATTGGTTAAAAGAAGGTGATAAAAACACCAAATTCTTCCACGCTACGACAAAACAGAGGAGAGCAAGGAATAAAATTCTTGGGCTCCTTAATTCCGTAGGGGAATGGGTAGACTCTGAAAAGGGCATAGAGTCGATAGCTGTGGGCTATTTCGAGTCTTTATTTTCTTCCTCGCTTCCGAGAGACACTTCCTCTGTGCTCCAAGATATTCCCGTCAAAATTACCACGGCGATGAATGCGAGTTTGACCCGAGATATATCTGAAGAGGAAGTGAAACGGGCTCTCTTTTCTCTGAATCTGGGGAAAGCCCCAAGCCCCGATGGTTTCACTACACTCTGTTTCCAGAAATTCTGGGGTATGGTTAAAGGAGACCTGATCCAGATGATAAATAATTTCCAGCAATCGGGTACTTTTGAAGAACAACTTAACGAGACTAATATCTGTCTCATCCCCAAAGGCGATCGTCCTCAAGAGATATCTGGATTCCGACCCATAAGCTTATGCAATGTGGGTTACAAGATTATCTCTAAAGTCTTGAGTTTACGCTTAAAGAAACTTCTTCCAGAAATAATATCCGAGACTCAATCGGCCTTCGTGGCTGGGCGTCTGATCACGGATAATATCCTTATTGCTCAAGAAAACTTTCACGCTCTCCGTTCCAACTCTGCGTGTTGGAAAAAATACATGGCTATCAAAACCGATATGAGTAAGGCTTATGATAGGGTGGAATGGCCTTTCCTCGAAGCGCTTATGACTAGGATGGGATTTGACCCTCGGTGGATACAGTGGATCATGTTCTGCATTACATCGGTGAAGTATAGAGTTCTTATAAATGGACGACCAAGGGGCAATATCAAACCCTCTCGGGGAATTAGGCAAGGAGACCCTATCTCACCGTATTTGTTCATCATGTGCACTGAGGTGCTGATCTATCAACTCCCAATCGCAGAAGCGGAGGAGAGGATTCAAGGTATAAAGATTGCACGGGAGAGCCCAGCTACATCTCACCTTCTCTTCGCTGATGACAGCCTATTTTTCTGTAAGGCTGATATCGATCAGAGTAGAGAAGTTATTGACATAATCCGCTCCTATGGCAAGGCTTCAGGACAGCAAATTAATTTTGCTAAATCCTCCATTATGTTCGGAGCTGACATTTCTACGGACACGAGACAAGGGATCAAGTCTACCCTCGGGATTCTCCGGGAAGGTGGAATGGGAACGTACTTAGGTCTCCCGGAACAAATCCAAGGCTCTAAAGCTCAGGTGTTTGCATTTGCTCGAGACAGGCTGCAAAACCGAGTTAATTCTTGGTCCTCTAAACTTCTTTCCAGAGGCGGAAAATAAATTCTTATCAAATCTCAGGCTCAAGCGATTCCAACCTATGTTATGTCGTGCTTCCTCCTCCCAAAACCTTTATGCTCCAAGCTTAGAAGCGTAATAGCAAACTTTTGGTGGAGCTCTAGGAGAGATAGCCGAGGCATTCACTGGCACTACAAGAAAACAGCTCATTTCTGACGACTACATCCATAGGAAATCCGTCAGAAATGACCGTTTCCGACGGATTTGCCACAAAATAAATTCCGTCGGTTGAGCTGGTCGGAAATATGCATCCGTCGGAAAGTCGTGGGAATATTCCGACGGATTGTAGTCGTTGGAATCTTGTCGGATATTTCTGACGCTAAACCGATGAATTCTTTTCCGACAACCTACTGACGTTTTCCCGTGGCGAAAGTTTACCGACGAAAAACCGATGACTGTTCCACGATACCTTGAGGTAGGTTATTTCCTACGAATTTCCGACAAAATACATTCCTATGAATTTCCGACGAATTGCATTCCTACGAATTTCCGACGAAATGCATTCCTACGGATTTCCGACGAAATGCATTCCTACGGATTTCCGACGAAATATATTCTTACGGATTTCTGATAGAGTTTTTCTTACAAATTTTCGACGAAACGTTTCTTATGGATTTGTGACCAAACTTTTTCCAACGGATTTGTGACCATTATAAATATTGTTTTGAAAATACAGATATATACATAATTCGCAATTAATTATTTAAAATTATTATTTATTATTTTTAAACAATTAATAAACATTTAAAAATATTAATTAAACTAAAAATTCTAAAAACATGAAATTTGATTTAAAAAAATACAAACTAGCAATAGTTTTGAAAATTTTAAAACATAACTATTTAAAGAAATTAGGTAATGCGGTTTTCAAAACGGCTTTCAGATCAGATAGTTCTTGTTGGGTTGACTGGTTAGCGGCCTTAAGCTCTGCAACCTCCTCATCACGCTCTCTAATCGTTAGAGATAGTTTATCTATGTCAGCTTTGTAGTTTGCAGATGGGGCATAATAACTTGAAGAAGAAGACTCTTGGCTCGGGAGTCCGCCTAACCCGACAAATCTGCCCTTCACTTTTTGAATTTCCTAAAAAAAATTATAAAATTGTTAGATAGATGATGAAATAGAGAAAGAAAATTAATGAAATTTTTTTTAACTTACACTGAGAACAACGTCGTTGATCTCTTCTCGGGGTATCTCGTTTGAAAAAATCGATCCATCGGGATTGAATTGCGAGAGTTCCACAATCTTGTCCTCCTTCCTCTTTTTGCAGATTTCAATCTTCTCACGAATCTCCGGATCTTGGATAACACCGGTCTTTTTGTTTGTGTGTCTTATTTCCAAAAGCTCAAGAAAATCCGGAGGAATTCCACCGGCTTTTTTTGCCTGCAAAAATTTGTTAAGTAATATAGCAATAGAAAATATATAAAATTCTAATAAAATATATACTTACCATTTCCATCGCTTCTCGTTCGATAGTCTTTGCACCTCCGTTGTGAATGTACATCCCTTTCCCATTCCGTTCACTCCTTCGATTCTTCGAGTTGGTTGTTGAAAGCTTCTTCGTTGCTGGTTTATCCCAATACTCGCAAAATCCTTTCCAAACATCGTCTTCAAGATCTTTTGGCTTATGTTTCTTCTGAAGCCACTTCTGCTTCCACTCGTACATGTGCTGCGAGTACTGGGTAGCGGCATACTTGTCGAAAGTGTTGAGAACATTCGTTGTATGGTGGCGGTCCCAAGTGAACTCTTGCTACAAAAAAAACACAAAATATATTAAGAGTTAAAAATATCAAATTTTTCTAAAATAAAAATAAAAAAACACCAACTTACCGCGAAAGTACGATGCCATAAATCCTTTTCGTGTCTCGGCATGTATGAGTATCTCTCATACGGTTTGTCCAACAAGTTATGGAGCATCCGCAATATCGCTTTAGTTATCGCATGCGACAACTTAAACCTGTAATATTAAAACAAAACAAAAACAAATTGTAAATTATAAATTATAAGCTAAATTAATTGAAATAAAAAAAAAAATCAAAATGTAACTTACCAAGTCCCGTCTTCGTACATAGGGTCAAGACGGATACAATGTCTTCGGTTTGGCTGATCGACTAAGTCCTCAATTTCCATGTGGCTGCGGGCCCTAGATTGCTCGGAATCCGGAATTGCAGTGCTTGAGGTGTGCATGCTTTGGAAAGTATCTCGAGACCGACTCCGTCTTTGTGAGTCCAAACAAATAGCATCCTCGTCTCTTTGAAACAAATTTAAACGTAAGTAAAACAATTTTTCATTTCATAAGTTTAGGAAGCTTTAAAAAAATCTTAGATTTCAAAAACTTTTGACTAAAGTTTTCAATATTTTCAAATATTTCATTATTTCAAAATCTTATAATATTTTGTTAATTTATTTAGAAAACGTTTTCCTATTCAAATTAATGATATATATGTTTACAAACATTTAAAAAATATTTTAATATTATTAAGAAAACGTTTTTTAGATATTGCAAATATTTTTTGTAGATATTGTTAATTTATTAAACTATTATACTATTAAAACGTTTTCTTATATATTAAAATAATTCTAGAAAAACGTTTTCTTAGATATTGCAAATATCTTTTTTAGATTTTGTTAAATTATTTAAACTATTCTACTATTAAAACGTTTTATTATATATTAAAAAAGGGTTTAGAGAAACGTTTTCTCAGATATTGCAAATAGTTTTTTTAGATATTGTTAATTTATTTAAATTATTCTACTATTAAAACGTTTATTATATATTACAAAAACGTTTTTTAAAGATTTACAATAATTGTATTTATATAAAGATTTTTTTTATATTATCAAAAAATTATGAATGAATACTTAGAAATCTAAAAATAAAATACTCAAAACCTGTTTTTGTAATTCTTTAAAATTGTAAATAATTATTATCTCATAAAACTAACAATCGCTATACTGTCATACCACACAAAGAAAAATTTAACACCCATAAACTAACCATAAGCTAATTCCAATCTTCATTTCTAATCATCTCTCATAATAAATTCCTTAAATCTATCAACCTAATACATAATATGGATCTGGGATTCCTTACTTGAAACTAATAATTAACAACAAGAATAAGGGGAAAAGAAGAACTTACATGGCATCCATTGGAAGATGGCGAGAGATTTTGAGAAAGATAAGAGATTGACTGGAAATTTAGAGAGAGAGAGAAACTTCAATTAGAGAGAGAGA